GGACCCAATCATCTTTGAACACTGCCTTCCTTTTATCTTAGCTGTAACAGATAGATCTAGGACTGAGACACATGCTGTTCTATATGTTCCACTTAATTTTGTTTTTAAGAGTTTGTTTTCTCATTTAATTGTGTTTTCTTTCACGAGTAATGTAAAATGAAGGAAAAACAACACAATTCTTATCTCATTTTACTAGACTTACAAAGAAAAATAAATCTAGTGCAAATTTACTGCAGAGTGAAAGAATTCCATCTAATATGAATTACTTGGTATATAGAAAGAAGCTGTGTTCTAATTTTCTTCTTAAGTAATAATGGAAGGACAAAAATGATGTTAAGTGATCTTTGAAAACAATATGCATACTCATCGAGAGAAAAAAAATGAAAAAAAAAATGAAAAAATTTGAAAGATACCAAAGAAAGTCACGCCACAAATTTCAGAATTATTCTTTGCATGATCGAGATTTGTTGTACTTTGGACCATTTAAAGGTTGAAGAAATATTTGTGTGATAGTATGTTTGTCTTTGGTTTTATATCTAAACAAACAGTTGCTGCTATGTGTCAGAGGACAATTAGAAAATGTTTTCAAAGATCACTTAACGTACATATACACGTTACAACTGATGTGTGTGATTGATACAAGTTTGTATGAAATAAGCCACATTGAATTATAACATATTTCTTCCTAAATTATAATAGATTGGTCATATATGTAAAAACAAAATGAAAGTCATTTTCATGCACAAATTAAACAAATCAAAGTTTCTGTGTCTATCTGGGTTAACGTTTGAAGACATCACCCCCAAACTATGTAGCCTTTGTAAGCCTAATTCACTGCCCTCTAGAAATATTGTATACATCACCGTACCACTGTCATTGCAAGCAGAACTTTTTAATTTTAACAAAAGTTCTGCGACGTTCATGTACAGGTATACCGAGACGTTTCATGGTCATGGTGATATCAAAGATTCAAGCTTAAGCAACAACTTTGCTTAATTTATGAGAGCTCGTTTTAAGGAGTGTGTTTAAACAAGCATGACAAATGCCCCCAACAAGACATATATTTCCACTTTCTTATCTAGAAAAAAGGAATGAAAAAGTAAGGGATCAAATCAAATCTTGCTCTTGAAAAGTGTCCCCAAGTGCTCTTCAATCTGCAGCTGCCATGCAACACAGAAACATTTAAACAATGACTAATGTTGATAAATTACCTTGCATATGCCTACAGGGATTTCAAAATGAGTTTTAAATTATTCAAAATTTAAACACTAGATAGCAGTGGGATTAAAAAATTCAATGCTAATGTATACGTACATATAGACAACCTACTGAAATTGGATAACAAATTACAAAATAGTTCTCCAGCACTTAACAAACTTAATCTTTAATGGGTCAGATATCCTGTATGGATTATATAACTTCAGATTTAGATTGATTTGAATTAAGTTTGACCCACTGATAGGATTTCGATAACACAGCTGCGTTGAACATCGACATGTCTCAATATTTGCTCAAGCTTTGGTTATTTTTCAATAAGTTTAATTTCAGTAAAGATAGTAAATCATACAATTCACACAATCAACATTATTACATCACAACATTCTCATAAATCATTCTCAAACCAAACAATTATTTTTTGTAAAAAATCTCCAATGAAACTTTTGTGCATGTATATATGAGCTAATTACATTTGGCACATGCAGTGCCAAAGTATATCCGCCGAAGGAATCTCTGACTCTGTCGACCTACCAGGTGAATGACACCGCCAGTATCTCTCTGGTTTTTATATACTGGAGGATTAGCTAGGATTATATATGTACAGACAATGTGGTATATGCATGCCTGTATTGAACTTTGGGGTCTAGCACCAAGTTATACCGGGATATTGCATATAGTTGGTGTTGTGTGTGTAACACTGGTATATCAAGGCCACATATATACCTGCTATAATTCTGTGTCAATTCCAGGCCAAAAAACATACCACAAAAACTTTGACTCGTATGTTTATAATACTGACTAATGTGTCTTGGCATTATTTCAAGCTTCTGTCTCAAAGGCAGCGACATCATGATTGGCTTACATTAATATGAATAGGATAGTTCTTGCCATAAAATATGAAGTAGCATCACGTTTTGAGTCATTTATTTTTTGTTTCAATAAAATTATTTATGTTATTAATATTAAAACAAATAAATTGAATATCAAGTAAATTGAGAAAGATTTTCTGGCTCTTAGAAAACAACAGTCATACAAAATATATGGAGACGATTAAAGTTATGTTGTGTTATTCGAACAGGCAATATTACATATTTGAAGACAACACAAGACTACAATAAAGACCTGTTTAAATTTTTTGTTCTATATAAAAATGAACAGAAGTTGTTTAAAACGTTCACTGGTGATTGAACACAAGTTTAAATGCGGTCATCAACGTTCTACACACCTTATGGCTTAATGTCCAGGGTTATGACAAATTTATCCTGTAACAAGCCCAGGGGGCCAACCACATATTCTCTGACTCAAAGTCGGGGTGGACTTATTACAGGACAATGAAATACTTTTGTTGGCAGCCATAGATATGGGCGGGCTTATTACCAGGCATGGGCTTATTGTCAGATAAATTCTGTATGAACTGTTAGTATACTGTACTACATCAAGACAAGAAAATAAGGGTAGGCTGATAGTCTGATACTTGTGAAATGTGCAGATGGTCTAGTGGTTCTAAAAACAGCTAGTCAAAATTTGATATTACTTATCCTGTAGAATTATATATGGTTGATGGAATTTGCAAATGGACAAGTTAAAGGAAATCTACTAGCATGATTGACGAGAGGTTTTTGAAATTAATTTCTTTCCCTGCTTCATGTAAATGACAAAAAGTTCACACTTTTAGCCCTGACAGTTGAAAGTTATCTCGCCTGTGAATGTCAACTGAAAGTTCAGCAAATATAAAAATATTGATTAACTTACAAAACATCCCTAGTATGTGGGTTATAAGTTTTAACAGCACGGTTTGAATGAATACTGAGTAATATTTACTTAACACATGCTAATATACAACATGGCATATATGTACACTTAATAACTGATGCATTAATTGGACTGAAGTGTACACATTATTGATATATATCTAACCCGGATATATAGTAGGCGTTAGGTAAACCTTGATCTCGTCACGTGACCATCATTGCAATCCTCAACAGACTTGCAATTCTGTGTTTCACAATAACACATTTTCAGCACGACTGAATCTTTTCATGAAATAGTCATTTGGAGTAAACATGTCTGATTCAATGTTGGTTTGTCCCAGTCAGCTGAGCATTCCATTAAAAATGCTGACAAAGTAATCATCACGGCCTTCTAGCATGACAAATTAAAACAATACACAGCTCTGTCAATGATCATTTCAAAACTAAAATCTTTAAAAGTATCTGTTTCCATTCAAATTTATTTAGCCAAATAAAAGAATCAATTTGATCACCATGACAGAATTCTGTATCCCACTTACAATTAGTTACACAAATACACATCTAATTTGGTTTTCCCTGTTAATATGTTAGATATATTACGATATGCTGTTGCCAGGTTTAACCCTGAATTTCCAGGTTTATGAGAAATTCCGGTACCCGATATTTTTTCTCCAAAGCAACAAGTTTTTAAATGTTCTTATAAGTGAAGTTAAGAACAGACCCACAGCATTGTATATGTTTCTTCTGGATGAAATAAACATTGTCTTCATTCCAAGAACAGTAAGTATAGCTAAAAAAATAATTCACTATTGTCTAATCATGATACATGTACCGGTACTTTCATCTCTGAATGTCCACCAAAACGTGTTGAACTGTTCTCACAGAAATTATAGTTATGGTATAGGGAACTAATTACCTAACTACACTTCTCCGGAATCTTCCCCAAGTATAATGTACATGTGTATCTACATCTTGGTTAATACATTTTTGTTTGGCCTTTAACCTTCAACCTCACGGACCTAACTGTACTTAAGGCCAGAATGGCCTCTGCTCATAAATACTGAATGCGGACAACAATGCCAACAAGCATTAATGTCTTTTTTTGCAATAAGGTCAGCACAGATATTGAACAAAACAACTTTCATCATACCATTGTTTCCAATAAAATTACATATTTATATATATATAATGTCATTGTATATTGAGATACACAGACTATTAACCCAGAAAGTCTATAGCTAGTTAGATAAATATGTATACGAAGGGTTCAGGTTTCATACAATCGCGACATATATCCGATAATAATAAGCTAACTCTACACTTGTGACATCCACCCTATATATTCCTCCATATTTATATGTCAGGGTTTCAAATTTCAAATTGTTTTTTTACGTTATTTTTTTACATTATTGACATCGCATGGCAGTCAGCAATGATTTTACGAGTGTTTCACTACACATGTATTTGCTACAATATGGGTTTGACTGTGTATTATTGGTGATACATTGTTCATCTGTCAGAAACGAATCGATAAATGATGAGAAAATCTGTCGGAGAACACCTGTAAAGCAAGATTGTATCTGGACAGGAACGGACCTTCGATATTCATCAATGGTCACTCTTGCTTGGACATGAAAGGTGAACCTATGACCTTTCCATTAAAAAGGACGCAAAGTCTTGCCATAGAATAAGGAAGACAATTATTGGTATACACTGTATAAATCCAGATTATCTTGGATGAAGTCACATATTGGTCCTTCAATAAAGACATCAAAGTCACAGTTCGTTTTCTACAGGCTGAAGACCTTATTTCAGTTTTATCCTTTCAAGTAAAAATTTCAATATCATCTGAATGCATGCAAGCATGAATACATACAACAACTCATTCACCCCTGAACACACATTTGAACTCTTCCAATTCAAGGGCTGGAATAGTTCATTATGAAATTTTCGGGGTGAATGGATTAACAAGCACTCAAGTCCTGTGGAGACTAGAAAATATATACAGTACAGAAAATCTATATTACTTACCTTCTTTTGAACTTTATGGGCAATAGTACCAGCCCCCATCATAGTCTCATCTTCATTTAAAGGGCGAATTCGGAGAGCAACCTGCAAAATAAACAACAATGAATATCAGTTTCAGCATACCAGATCACCATTACATAGCATAAATCAGCACAGGCTTTCCAAGGCCATCTATATATACTCACTGATGTAACAATGAAAGAAAAATAGCATGGTCCAGTTTGGTATTTGAACTGATGACCTCCAAACTATTGATAAATGCTCAAACCAACAGCCCTGTTCATGGTCATGATCATAGGCAATTAAGTGCCACTGTCCTTTGGCAAGTCTATTTGGGCACCAAATGTGATCGAAAAAGAAAACTGCAACAGTGAGACCAGGACTTGAACCTATGACCTCTGAACTCTTGACAACTGAGGTGTACCTGTTCACCAGGCCTAGTAATTAACCCAGTACGGTTCAGTCATACTGATACATATGTATATGTAGTGGAAGTATTATCTTCTGAACAACAAATGTGACTGTGAGGAAATTTAATTTAATTCATCATCTCAATTTTTGTCATTACTGTAGTCATCTTTGGACTCGTATTTGACAACTATATTTAATAATCTGTATTAAGCAATTAATTGAATGTGCATGTGGAGAAATATAATCTGTACATACGGTAGTATATACACTGTAGTGACCAAGTATATCTGAAGATGTTATGATCAGTGGGAAACAGAAATCACCTGGTAGTATAAATTAATGTTGAAATGTATCTAGAATTTGTTATACATACAGTTGAAGTACAATGCACATGCATGGCACTTCTATATTTACAGTGCTTCTATATATTTTATTTTTTTTGGAAAATTATAAGCATTACGTATTTGGACTCATTTGAACATCGACTGAATCAATGTCTCACCATGTTATAGGTACTAGATTGATTTCAATAGCAGTTAGTAAGAGATGTAGCATGACAAAATGACTGTTTGTGATTAATTGATACTTAGTCATGTTGAGTCAGACAACAATAATATAAGGGCACTTAAAAAAACTTAATACACCAAAATGAAACTGATTGGAAAAAGGTTAAAAACTGAATTCATTGCTCACCCAATATTACAAATGGTCAGATAATTATTGTATCAAGATTTTTTTTTTGCTAATTTCAAAATTAATGGTCAGTGTCTATTTATACGGCACGGCTGTGTTGTGTCTTTGAGCAAGATACTTTACTCCGCTTGTAAATGAGTACGTGGTTGGGCAGTGCTAGAATTGTTGAATGCTAGCTGTTAGCGCCGAAAGGGCAGCGCCGGCTGTATGCTCCCCAGGGAGCTGAGAAAGATATTGGCTGGTAAAAAAGGCCCTATAACCACGGATACTAATTTGTGAACCGCTTTGAGACGACCTACGAACTAGATTGTGATAAAGGGGTATATAAGAACCTCAAATTATTATTATTATCATTATTATAAACCAATTTCCCATAGATATTTGAAAATCTTTAACAAATCAATTGTATGGAATAAGGTTTTATATCAGCAGTGATTATTTTTGCTCGGTTTTACCACCAAATACCTAGCGTAAAAGCGCAACATTTTCCCAAAATGACCAAAAACTGAAGAATATATTCCCAATTTCAATGTAGATAATGCTATATTTTCCCAATTCTTAAAGAAACAGGCTGTTGTAAAATTTAGGTAACAAAAACACTGAATATCACACACATCATAGTATGTCTCCAATCTAAAATTGGCACATTTGATCAAAATGTGAGACAAAGTCATATATTCGTCTCATAAATGCCAAAAGGGCTGATCCTCTAGCCGAAGCAAGTATACAGGAGTAAAGTATTGCAACATAATAGCGCAATCTAATAAACAACAAAACACCTGAAGGAACATGGTAATAAGTGCGAGCAGATTTTTCATTTTATAAAAGAATAAATGAGATTTCTACTTTCAGAAAAAAAATCCATGTGCTAAATATTCAGTGGCGGATCCAGAGACCTATCTGGGGGAAATAGAGGAAAATGGTGACAATACATGATTTTTAAAGAAAATTCTCAGGGTGGGGGTTGCCTCTGGATCCGCCACTGATATTCATGAAGATTTGTCTGCCATAATTTATCATACACTACATATTACTGTACTTATTGCCCCTGTACAATCTGGACAGGTAACATTTATAAGACATAGTTATATCACCTGCCACCCTTACAGCCAGCTTAAGGTTTACCAGCTCACACATATGTTAATGCTAACCCTATCACCCTGTGCCGTCTCTCTTACATTATAATGCGAAACTTATATATATATACACACTTTATCAGGCCATTTCAAAGGAATCTGTCATCCACTTAATATATTTAAATCAATATTTCAGACATGATCTGAACAATGAGGCCAGTAAATGGATTGATGTTGCATACATATCAACATATGGACAGGAATATATATGTATACATGTACCTAACTAAGATGTTGTGTACAACCAGGACACCAAACTTTTAATCATTTCTTATTGAAAAACATTTGACGGTACAGTAGATGCATGTACAATGATTTTCTAGATCTTTCAGTATAATTTTACCTGTAGATATAAAGAGGAGGTTTGCAATATTAATTAATCTAGACATTTTTGTAAATATATGTCAGGAGATATCAATTCTTGACTGACGAATTGTTCATTTTTACATCTTTTATTAATATATTTCATTTTTATTCAAGAATTATTGTCATAAGTTACAAATAAAAATTGAGCGTTTTTTTGTATTTGATCATTATGGTTTAAATCTTGATCAGACTATTTCCATTGAAAAGTAACATCCAGCAGGTAAATACGATGGTCATAGGTGTGTTTTCTTTGACATGGCAGGTTGGGGTAAATAAAATAATCAAAATTCATAAAATTTGAGGCCATGCAGTCATGAACCAAACTTTTTCGCCAATAACCAATAACCTGTTCATGCACGGAACACGAACAATTTTTTTTTTGTAATTTGTAATATATATGCTTCTACCTAATGGTTCTGTGTATACACATGACTGAAGAACTTGCAAGTCGCATCAAACCTACATTTCTAATGGAGCGACAATATGTCAACAAAACTCATCAACATACATAAATTATTGCCTGGGTCCCTTTTCAATATTAAATATTGATACTAAATGTATACAATTGCTATTCAAATTACTTGTTGTTCGAAACACAATGTGAATCTAGAATTTCGTTTCCTTCGTACACAAAACAATTCAGAGTTTTCATTTTAAGGTAAAGGGGTAAAATCCTATCATGCAAGAGCCAACTTTTCAACACCCTAAATCCACTTTCATGTACTTCTCAAGAAACACAACTCTTGACAGGCAAAACAAATGCAACAATTTCGTGGAAGGCCTGTATTAACGCTCGACATCATGCAACTATTCAATTAATCCAGGTCAGAAGGTAGGAGGATTGGCATGACCTTTGGTTTATTGGGTCAAACCTGAGCTCCATATATATCTCCAGACAAGTCATTCCTTTGGGTTTTCTAACCATTTCTATACTCTGGAGATCTAGGTAGGATGCCAGTTGTTGTGATAATGCCAGGGTTTCAGCCTTGATCTATACATTTTCAAATTTACTTGACCTTAGGGCAAACCTGCAGGTATCTGAAAGTCATTGCACTTTTTTTTCGTTTTATAATGCATTTATAAGTTAAAAATATTCTGATACCTTGGATGCTAAGGTACTTTGTAGTAGGCTGTTGATCATGAAGTTGCCAGGAACAAACCTTTCGCCTATAGGCTATAAACCAGTCAACAAGATCCCAAGCATTGGCAATGAATTTTATTATACCTGCGGGCTAGACGAGCGCTTAATGGTATCTGAAAACTTGGGGTTTCTCTTTATTTTATATGCATCTGACTAAATATTCCAATAATCAGCATGCAGGTAAATAGAATACCTGGTGTATATAAGTTCATTAGGGATTCTTATATGATACCAGCCCATCAGCTTCCAAGTTATTAGTATTGGTAATTTATTAAACCTCAGGGGAAAATCAGCATTTAAGGGCTTCCAATAGCTTCAGGTTTAACTATTTCATTTGATTATTCTTAATCTTCTAATTTAATCAGAAACCATTAAAGTTGTATGGCCAATCATTAATAAGTGTTTGTTTCTTGGACTTCCTTAAGTTGTGAACTTGTCAATTTATAAAGATTAATAATTATAAGAAAACAATTTTTAAGAGTAAAAAAGTTTGATTAGATAAAAGGATAACTAAATCATATACAAGACTGATAGTTTGAAATGCTGAGATCAACCGGCATTATAACTGACCAATAACATTCCAATGTATGGGGGCCAATTACTTTTTATCTTGTTTTCAAATTTATTACAAAGTCCAACAGATTCTAAATGTCTCCATTTCTATCTATCATCTTTCTTTTCTCTTCCCCTTTCCTTTCTGTTATTGTGTTGGTGTCCGAGTGAAAGTGTGTGGGAATGGGTGTCATATTTGTTTCATATTTGTGTCAAATTTTGTCATTGTACATATTGTCTTGTTTTGTTATATGTTGAGGAAAGCATCTAGTAGGCTCAGGGCTGTATACAATTCTCGTTTTAAAAAGAAATAAAGAATTAAATTAATTTATGGGGGCCAAATTCCGACACATGACACATATTCCGGTGTCAGACCCAAGATGTGGTAGGAGGATTAAAATCTCAGATTCAAAAAATTATCTAGATTATTTATATATATATAAAAGATTCAGAGACATTTACATTGAAAAACCACTGGTGGGCTGAAACATTATGACATCATCAATATAACATCAATCTGCAGTTTAATGTTTACATGTATTGCAAAAGTTCAATAGAGATCTTTGAGAGACATTGGTTTTAAAGGAAGCAAGTTTTACACTTGTCAATACAATAAAACAATTAAATAAACCTGCCTGACCTTGCCTTGGCCTTAGTCAGATGAGGCCCTATAAATCATATATATTGACCAATGTAGGTGTTATCAACTGTATAAAAGTACTGTCAGCAGAGACCTATAACTATGTACATGGAGACTTCTAATCATCTTACAGTGTGTGTCAGTTATAGACCAGAGTGACCTGTAAGATGTGCTGTAAAGTGTTTTATGAATCAATTTATAAGGGTCCCTGCAGTCCCAATACAGTGTAGTTTTTTCGTATACTACAGTATCCTCCCCTTAATTTCGTTCTGGATGAAACTCTATCACAGTTGGGCCAGGACACTCTTGCATTATTTTGTCAACCACGCAGCTCGATCAGTCAGTCAGAGCAATAGGATATAGGCCTATAACAATCAAAGTCTTGGTTTTGAATCTGGGTCTAGATCTGCTGAACTTTTACACTCATAACGTTAACATTAAACTAAGCTGCAGGAACCGCAGCTTCTAGACTCAATCGTTGTCCAATATTTCAAAAAATAAAATAAAAAATCTGGCGTAGAATCTACGGTTCCCGCAGCTTACTGGACATAGCACAGTTGTAGTGTTGTTGATTGTGCATTGTTTATTTCATATTTATCATTTTTTTTATAAAGTCCCACAACGTATCAATGTTTTTTTCTTTTCAGAATGATTTATCAAAGCTACAGTCATGCCGGAAAAAGGATAGTTCCAAATGAGCAGTTACAGTTTTTGGCAGTGGTAAGGGATTCTTAAAAAGAAAATACAAATCAGAAATTTGATGTAAAATGTTCCACTAAAGGGAAAATGCTAAAAATCAACAAAAAACATGAGTATAAGCAGAAAAATTTGCATTCATAAACACCTATTGTTGCTGGGCCCAAAAAAACATGTCTTTTAGGTTTTATGACCTTCTAGCATGAAACAAACAGTAAACTCTATGCTCTATGAAATGGATATTAAGTAGTAATTAATTCAATCTCACACTTATAACAAAAACTACAGTGACTGTATTACTGCAAGATTTCACGTATACAGCGACGTGCTAGAAGTCTTTCACGTTACATCATTTTCCCATTTGATTCAGTGTTAATTTACATTTCTTCGAAAAACTTTGACATTCAATTTTGATAAAAACTTTACATCCTACCTGTTACAGAATAATCCTCCTGGGCATACTATCATTATTATCTGTGGGTCTGTTATTGAGATATATACTGTATCACTTTTCAACCTTTCATAAAAAGTCATACTTTCATGTCATTCCCATATCATCGACATATAGTAAATGTTAAATTTTGTCATAAAAAATTGTTTTGGCAAATTAACTCATCATGATTAGAATTCTATGAAGCGGTAATATTAATATTACCTGTTGAAGTGCTAGATGATTATCTAGCTGTGCACCAATTTATTAGGGAATTTAAAAAAAAACTTTTTTAAGAATCCATTTAGAAAATGACATAACATGAAAGACCTGTATGCACATACATATGCCTGTCTGCTCTGACTAATAGAAATCAGATAGTGAGATTATGGTTTTGAACGGTGGAGACGGGCCTTCCTGAGGGCAAGATTTTGACTGCTGTGTAATGTTGTTTGAACATTTTAAAATCTTTTTTAAATGACACTGATGTTAATAATATGATAAAAAAAACAACATGTAACGTCATGAAAAGTCTATATAAACTAAGTTCTAATTAGGTAACAGAACTTATAGCAAAACACTAACAAAAATGATTCTGTAGTCAGATATAACATTATATTAAGATGAATTTCATCTTACTGAAGGGGGAAGTCACATTTATAACATTAATGTTGAATAGCTAATTGTCGTTTGATATTTCAGAACGGGAAAAAAATCTAAAATAAATACAGCTTTTTTTTTGTTTTATGAATAAATATTGGTCCATATAAATGATATAGCCTAGCTTGTTGATATACATATTCCATAAAATATATTATTTATGGCACAGTTTACTTACCTGGTAGACTGGTTCTGCTTAATTTACAGAAAACCCCTACCTGTCAAAATCAGTATTTTACCTGTTGTGAAATACTAAGTCTAATGACAGAAATTGACACCACACAACACTATGTAAACCCACCGTTAGAGTCTGCTCTCCGCCTCCCTTGTTTTTAGTATCTGCCATTATTCCGATTAAATTATCCCGTTAGGTTGGTAAAAGCATGATCACATGTGATTCGAACGTGACACTTGAAAACACCTTTGTAAAATGGTTCCGATCACCGTTATAATTTTGAAACAGAAAATGGCGAACAAGTCGTGGCTTTCTGTACAGTATAAATGTAAATCTCTCCCGAATTTGGTCACTGTAGTTGTCTCAGTATAATCCTAACCTCTTCCCTTTACAATAGGTGGTTACTGATTACCTGTCATTGTGTATTCCACCCATACTACACAAGCTACAGTACACAGGTACGGCCACACTGACAGACGACAGAAAACGTGTTGTGACAGCGCCACGATACCGTTACACCCCACTGAACACGAGAATCAATAAGCCATCGACGAGAAGTTAGATCTAGCTGATTCGCGGTAAAATTACTCCGCGAAAAAAAAAGTGCCTGTTTCAAGCTGGATGACTGGGGAAAATCGAAGTGATATCTACCTGAGATAGAGGGCTATTTATGGCATCACTCCGTTCTAGTTATTGCTAACCATACGATCGAAAAGGGTTCGATTTTTATCTAAAATAAAGTCAGCCGATTTAGATTTCTTAGGTACACTCTTCTTAAGACGTCCCTAGTTCAAAAACCCATTGAACAACTATTCGGTAGAAATACATTTTGAAAACGTAGAACAAAATAAAAATCATTCACGTGTATTTAAGCGTCGCAAAAGTACTTTACATAAAATCACATCAAGACCAATATGCACGCAATTATCTAAGACCGTAATGTGTGGCTGTTCTATAAGTTACACTGACTACTTCATTAATTAGCCTTAATTTGCACGAGTATGGCAATACTTTATTTGTACTAAGTATGTAACATGTCAGGGTATTTTGGAACGCACGATCAAACCAGTATATATGTAACTTATGTATATGGGGCAAAGAAGTAATTCCAACAGTGTGGACAAGTTTAGGTTGTCAAATTTTCGGAGCAATCCGCTCCTTTATCAAGACACAGTGAAACAGAACAGTTACATGTACATATACATCATATTACAAGAAGATAGAACTAATATACTATAATTGAAAATATAGCTATTATATCAAACCAATAGTCCCGATCAGCTAAAGACAGCCGAAGGCAGCAATTAAGTTTAGAGCATCGCGGACAAGGAACGCTGATAGTCTAAATATCAGAACGCTCGTTGGCTCTGCTCTATAACGAAAGTGCACTAAGACGACTCGCCCAATGAAACACAACGACGACCCGCCAAATGATAACCATATTGACCCATATGTAACGTATATATATATACGTCTCTGCCTTGACACATGCTATTTTTGTTGGGAATCACTAACTTTTTGACGACCCATTATATTTGTCAGTATTGGGATTACAAATGTTTAGACTCGCCTAAAAATTCTACAAAAATCACTGCAAATACCACTATTTATCATAACATATCAATCGTTAATTTACAACTTATACAACATGTACTCCAAGACACAAACGCTATACGGAGAGAACAGTTTCCTCGAGAAAGGTCCCATAAATAGATTTAAATGTTCATCAATATTCCGTCTTTGCGTATTTCAGAGTTATCTTCTCTTGTGAGCAGGTATTGATTGTCACGTCATTGGTTTGTGTGAGAAAATTACGTCGTTTTCTCAGAAATTGATGACGTTACTCTCACAAACAAATGACGTATCAATCAATACCTGCTCACAAGAGCAGATAACTCTGCAATACAGAAAGACGGAATATCAGTGTTCACATTTCTTATGGAAAACGACGTTATCTTTTTCATGAACGAGTTTTATTAAACAGTCTATTCATAGTATCACGATAAAATCTTAATTAACTTTAAAAACTAATAAGTTACATGGAACGAACCACAGGGACGTGGATCTGTGTCACACCCCCGTGGAACAGGTTCTGAACACCAAAAATAAAAATTCAGAGAACAAGATACAAAATACATATTAACAAGAATTCCACGGAAGTGGATGTGTCGCCTGCGCAGGAAGCTGGGAGATTACGAAGAAATAGATACACTTTTCATTTCAAGAAATAATGTTAAAAGTAAGCAATAATCATGGATTATGTTTTTGGATGGCATCATTTTGTTACTATATAATCTGTTATTCTGGGAAGAATACTCTGAGTTTTCAGGAACCAGCTTTTCGCAGGCGACACAAAAATGAACAAGACAATTGGTTTGTAATCATGTGATAGTTTAATTTTAAGCCGACTAGAACCAACACCAATGTCTACATTACAGACACATATTAGTTATGTTAGATCACCACGACATGTCGACAGTACTGGTATAGGACGTGTGATGACCATTACACACAATCTGAGCATTCGTGAACACAATCGTGTGTAGTTATCATGGACGACCACTAAACGAGTCCTTCGTGAAATATGTTTCTCAAATAAAATTCCACATGGACCTAAGATGCATTCTATACATAAATTGCCCTTGGAGGAAAACACGGAAGTGGATGTGTCGCCTGCGCAGGAAGCTGGGAGATTACGAAGAAATAGATACACTATTCAGTTCAAGAAATAATGTTAAAAGTAAGCAATAATCATGGATTATGTTTTTGGATGGCATCATTTTGTTACTTTATAATCTGTTATTCTGGAAAGAATACTCTGAGTTTTCAGGAACTTGCTATCTATTTATAGTAACAGTGACCTTGACCTTTGACCCTCGGACCTGAAAAGCAATCCCAAGCAAGCACTTTTGGTAAGGAAGCACTGCATGAAGTTTGAGTTTGATCGGCCCAAGGAAACTCAAGTTATCGCACGAAAAC